TCGGACAGGGTGCGGCCATCTTCCAGCTGCTTTCCGGCGAAGATCAGCCTCTGCTGGTCAGGGGGGATGCCCTCCTTATCTTGGATCTTAGCCTTCACATTTTCAATGGTGTCGCTGGGCTCCACCTCCAGGGTGATGGTCTTGCCAGTGAGGGTTTTGACGAAGATCTGCATTTTGTACCTGATCTATAAAAAAAAAATAAAAATAAATACACTCCAAACCCATTATATTCTGACTTAATCTCTGTCGTGCTAATACTTCATTGCTATATACAATGCAAAGATGAGGAACTACATGCTACAGGATAGTTCCTACTAAATGTGTTTTTTTTTTTTTAAATAAGTCATAATCAAATCTCACTTCTTTAAAACCTATCTCCACTTCTCTTTTGGGACGCAAACATTTCCTTACTAGGAAACGGCAAAGGTCGACAGTTCTGTACACTGAAAAAAGTCAAGTGAATAACCAAATACGATAAATAATCCTAAAATATATCAGGAACACAAGAGGAAATTGAAGCATTTGACCGCGCCTTAGCCACCATTAGCGGCGGGCTGGGCGCCATTTTGAGCTCATGTAGTCCTTTGTTCGCCGGTTAACCGCCAATGGCCGAACCTTTAACTGTCGCCTTACTGCTACACCATAGGAACGCTAAACCTCTATACTTACCAGATCTAGAACAGTATTTTATATGTATTTGATGACGTTTAAAAATAAAACAGTATACGTTACGACGGTCAAACCTTAAATTTTAAAATTAAAAAGAGGACTTAAAGCACATAAAATTCCTAGTACATTAAGATGATAAAATATGTCGTAGTCTACCACATTTTAATTTTACTTACACTTCCGTATAACTTCTGTAAACGCCGGTCGCGTTAGTTATCTCGTCGAAGAGGGTATCTTGCTGCTTCGTAACTGCTGCAGCGACGGCGTCGAAGCTGCTTTTAAACCATACGGGGTTGCCAGAATTGACTCACGGTTTCTAGCCCAAAAGCAGTGAAAACTCCGCCCAACCTGGCAACACTGATACTGAGCTGAACAACCCCCCAGAATCTGCTAGAAACGCCACGACAACAAGAATTTGCTCCAAGATTCTGATTGGGTAATGCAGTTGTTTGTTTGCTCCGTGATTGGTTGCTGAGTCACATTAGGTAATCCATGGTGACTGAATCATGTGAGATGAATCGCCTTATAATATACTTTTTTAAGAAATATACCCGACACTAGTGGAATATTTCATCTGTAGGTTAAGGTTTTCACAGTAAAATACGTGTTTTCGGGGATTTCAGTTTAAGTTATACAAACTAAAACACGACTTTCGATGGTTTTTCGGGTTTTTATCTTGCCTGAATGACTTTGCATTTATCTGAGTCGTACCCGGAAGGACAGACATGCCCAAGCAAAAGCTCAAATATTACATTATCCAATAGATTTCTGTTAATACAGCGAATAAAGCGGTTATTATAGAACACTCATATATGATTACATCTTTTTTTGACCAGTTCTCATTAATAATCTCCAAGTCAACATCGAAACCAACAGGATTCCTTATCTTTTATCATCTTTATGCTTTCCCGAGGTCATTGGTGTGACATGCAGTGGAAGCATAATCAAGAAAGCAGAGTCAGATGACGAACAGTGCGTTTACTTATATCAGGATATTTGAATCTGTCCAGCTTGAGTAGTTCTGTTAGTTTCTCAATTGTACTTTTTTCTATAGATATTAAATGTTAGATGTTAAAGATGTTAGGTTTCCATGACAATAAAATGGTGCTGACTGATGCTATAGTCTATATATATCTTAAAATATTCTTAAATTGAACTATTAGGTAACGATTGCAAGCCTTTTCATTTTTATCTTGCACTGAGTTACCAGACTTAGAGGGAAGGACTAAAACAACAAGTAGAGCTTTATTTTTCAGTTTGAAATTATATAAAGGGTTGATATGCAGCTCTGTAACTTACTTATGGTCTATTTTGGGCCACATATTGGATAACAGCACTGAGAGTATGTATTTGGGTCACAGTATTCTCTCAGCCCACCCATTCAGGACCATGTCATATGAACCCGTGATCTACCACGTTATTGCAGGCCTACATCTTGTGGGCTGATCTTTTTCAGCCTCTCAGGAATGTGTTTGTTCAAGTCTGTTGCACATTGCCCTGCTCCTTGTTTGAATTATCAACTAAGTTTCAGGAAAACAACTCACAAAAGCAGAACTAGGTCTAGCCCACTTGTATGAACACTCTAAAAGACTACCTTTTCAATGATCAGTCACTTTTAACATGTTCAGCAGTTTTGGTTAATCTAGTCTAGGTGAAAGGTCTTTTGTAATTGTGAAACTTATCAGTGTCCTACTTTGTTTGGTCTCTCTGTGATTTCCTTGATAGGATGACTGGAATATTCCAGCTGGCTCCACATCAGCAGGTTTCGCAACAAACACGTCACGCCAAGTTCAGCTGAACTTTTATGTAAGTGTTTGGTAAATAGATAGCAGTTTATATGATTTACCGACAGCGAGACTAAAAGAACGTCGGTAAACTATACCGATGTTTTTGTTTCTCTTATTTTTAGGATGGACCTTGTGAAACATTCAGGTGGATGCCACTGTGGAGCTGTTAGATTTGAAGTCTGGAGTTCCCCCGACCTCCATGTCTTCCACTGCAAGTGTGTATCATTAATCTCATTTCATATTGTATTACATCCATCTTAGAACATTATCAGTGGATGGAAGAACTAAAACAATTTTTAAATCAAACTGAAACAATGCCCAGGTACTTTTTAGGTGTATTCTGTTTCATGATAACCATAAACCTATCTTTTATTGAATAATTTTGTGTTAAATCTACAGAAAATGTAAGCTTCAAATTTCGTCTCCACCCACCTTCTTATCAAGTCGGACAGGTCCATGTTAGAGGAAACGCCTTCCCACACATGTTCTCTACAGAAGGGCTCTTACACCTTAGAATTTAAGTTAATGGTCAGAAAATAGAAATCTGGTCTTTTCTGACTGGGACACCTTCCGCAAGTTGACTTTAACGTACATCGTAAAATGCACACAGGAATTCTTATACCTTTAAAAAAAAACTTTTTGTTAGTGATCCAGAAAGGTCAGATTCACAGCGTACATAAGTAGCCTGTTGGCACTTTTAATAAATATAGGTAACATGCTTGGGCATGTAAGGTGTTGTGCAACACTCCTTATATTATCAGATGCTTAAGTTTCATTTTATAACCTAAACCTGCTTTAAACTTCTCTTCACCCCCTCCTCCCTCGCCTGTCTGAGGTGTTCCTTGGTCTTCATGGTTCTGTTTATTCTCTAATGATTTCTAATGAACCTAGGAGGCCTTCACATGACTGCATTTAAACTGCTTTTAAATTACACGCACGTCGTCTCCATTTACTAACTAGATAGCTTTTGAATGTTTCCCCAGATATTATAGTAGAACAGGTCTGAATAGAAATGCTGCTCACATTTTGAAGATTTTTAAGTATAGTTTTGAAAATGATAAATCCTTTTTTTTCTAGTTCACAATGCTATGTCCGATGCCACATCAATGAGAGAGGAGTTCCCCAGGGCTGTGTTCCCAAAACTCCTCTGTTCTTTCATATGAATCCTCATTAGTTGGTAAACATCATCTTCTGTGATTCTGTTGAAACTTCCTCATAGATGCCCTATATTGCTTTAAGATAAAACAGACCCAGCAATGATACACACTAATGTTTATGGCAGTTATCTGAAAATTTAAGGAGAATTTAACCTAATTTATTTGTTTCCCCAGTTGTAGTATTTGCACCAAGAAACAAAACCACCATTTCATCGTTCCAAAAAGTAACTTTACCCTCTTACAGGTTTGTTTGCATCAAACACATTGTTTAATGCACAATTTAATTATGAGGATAAAAACAAAAACAAAAAAAACTGTGGCTGTTTCTTCTCTTTAGGGAATGGACAATCTGACCACCTACAGCTTTAACACCCATGTGGCTAAGCACACCTTCTGCAGAACCTGCGGAGTTCAAAGTTTCTACACGCCACGGTCCAATCCTGATGGATATGGTACGACAAAGCCTCAAATATTGACTTAAGAATGTTTCATAACCTGACCTAGCTAGTTTTCTCTCAGATGTTATGAAGGAAACAGAAGTCAAAATAGGGGATAAATACTGTAAGCTGGAAATTCCCTTGAAACCTACTGCTCACCCAGCTGGTATAACCAGGTTTAACTGACGTATGTAAAATACAAGTGTCTATTGTTTTAAATGTGGTTTGTTTCTATTTGTGGTTCCTCCCTCAGGTGTTGCTCCGCACTGCCTGGATCCAGGAACCGTTCGCAGTGTGGAGGTGGAGAAGTTCTGTGGAGAGCAATGGGAAGAAAGTATGCAAGCCCACAAGAGCATCAGAGACATGTCGAAAGCCGGAACCGAGCTGCAAAAATAAGACTGACGGGAAACAGCATTTAAAAATGTTTTAATGAACGTCATACAAAAATAAAACAAAAACTAACTCAGTTACAGTAGTGTTTTTATACAGTGTCCTGACAACAACATTCTTTGTGTCCCATTAACGCCCAGTAGGATTAATATTGTTTACAATCTTAGAAACCTTAGTCTGCTTTGTTTCTAAAGATCACATGAAAATATTCTGGTTTCTAAGGCTTGAGTAAGCTGCATGATTTACAACAAACACACAGTCACAGGTTGGAGCTCTCAGTAGATTTTCAGGTTCTTCGGTCCTTGTGGAATCATCTGGAATGTGTTAATGAACATATACCTGGAGAAGGTGATGTAGAGGTACCGAAACCACAGCAGCTGAGTGCGATGGCACAGCATAGCAGCCTGTGACAGACAACATTTTTAACTCATAAAATGAATCATATTTTGGCCTCCTTAATGCATATTCCTATTACAGTGTACTTAAAGGGTGTGTGCTCTCTAAAAATACAAAGTGTTGAGTCATGCGGACAAATTCGTCCGTACTGAGTCTTACTTTAGCTTGCTTGTAGCCCTTTGAACCCACAACGCAGCAGAAATGTGACGGTAGAAGCCAGCTGAATGGAAGGTCCAGGAAGGAGAGGTACTTCCTTAGAAGGCCAACAGTCTCCAGGGAGAGCAACACACAGTCTGCAGGGAAAGACAATGAAGACTCAGACAGCTGGTAATGTGAAAAGATCAGGATGGACGTTAACTAGGCCACTGTCCAGACAACAAGCTCTGCCTGTTTTTCAGGAAGTAGGAACAGTAGACGTGCTATATGGTATTAAAATACCACATCGTATGGACAGACATGGAACAGACTGTTTTCTCGTTAATGCAGCAAGAAACACTTTATTCCATTAGCTGAGATCCCTTTGCAGCCTGACGGGAAGGGACATCAGGATTAATCATCAGCTGCTCCACTTGGAGCTAACAGGGAGGGTCATGGCGCTGAGGCGGACAGTGCCTTATAGGACCTCATTCTTACCTCTTAAACCTTTTTCCATGTTAAATTCAGCATTTTATTCAGATGTTTGTATCAAACAAACCAAAAACAATGCAGTGTTTAACCGTGCAATGGTTTCTTTATATAAGATAGAATCTGACAAGTTGATTAATGCTGTTCTTGTTCTGTTTATTAGTTACCTATACGCTAAAGCACTTGGTTTTATTTATGGGCACCAGAGTAAAACAGATGAATAAAAATGATTGGCATTCTTTTCAGATTTGTATTGTATGACAAAAAGTGGAAAAGTTGAAGATATATGAATACTATTGCAAGACAATGTATGTGTCTTTACTTTATCATGTTATTTATATTCAGTGATTTTGTGTATTAAGTAGGATTTTACCAAACCAGGGAATAAGATCGTTTTAACATCTTAAACTTGATTTAATGTCTTTCATTCTTTTTAGAGAACTCATAACTAGCAGCATTTTAGGTACTTTTCAATGAAAGCAAAAGTGAAAACAAAAGACAAATTAGATCATGACGCAGACTGGTTTCTCTGATGCTCGTTTAAAAACTTTTAAAAGAAAATTAGAAAACTTCTTAAAGCAGACGACCACAGTGAGGTCCAGCTGGCTTAATGTTGCAGCCCTGAGGGCAGATAGATGCAGCAGAGAAGGTCAATAAATGTGTTTGGACAGAAGAGGGCGCCAAATATTCATCACATGGCCAAATAAAAATCTACCACTCTCTGCTGCACCTTTCAGGACTTTCAGTAAACACATCAATCTTGTAAAAGTTTTCCTTATGTTAGCCCTTACCTTTAGGTAAATCACCGGTGGAAGCGAGATGTCTGTAAGGAAAAAGGAGAAGGATTAGTGTTGTCGGTGCAGCTAATGCTGCAGGAACTTGTATAGGTTTGTCATTATATTAATTATGCCAACTGTTGCTCATATGCATTTGCAGAAATCCGTTTATGACTTAGTGGTTGTTGTCAGTAGACACACAGAGCCATTTTTTTCCCCTGAGTCTTGCACTTCAAGCATTCACTGGCTGTTGACTTTAACCGAATACGTGAGGAGAAAACCACTGAGATGCACAGTGATGGGAAACTAGCAACCATTCCCCCTGGGCTGCAGCTTTATGAGAATCATGAGATGGAATTTTTACAACTCGCTGGTCAGAAACAAATAAGACAAGAGAGCCGTAACCGTGAAGGCACAGCTGTTTGCTAGAAAGAGATCGGAGTGCCTTCTAGGGATCCTGATAAACTCTTCTCCAACACATTTCCCTGAACTGGCAAAAGGCGGCCTATCCAAACCAGAGTCGCCCCCTCCCTCTCTTCCGTCCTCACTTTGGGGACAGGATTTACGGCCGCTCGCTAGGAGCCGAGCCCAGAGCCTCAGAGGACTCTGTTTGGATGACCTCTCAGCTATGTAACAGACCAATTCTGAAAAACATGATCTCTGTGCATGTGTGTGTGTGAGTCTTTGTGGGGAAGCGTTTAGAGGGATGGCGGCTGTTGTTACGAGTCCAAAATTTTCTGCATTTTCCTGGAAAGACTTTTATGACTGTGGAGAGGTCTGCTTTCAGGGTTTTAGTGTCGTCTGTTGCCAAAAGTCATTGGTATGGCTAGGGCCTTACCTGACAGCTTTATAGATGGCTACGTGATTGGCATGGCCGCTCACACCGCTTCCATCAAAGGTCAGCACCTGAAACAATAAGATCGCTCACAGTTTGGGTTAAAAACAGCAGAATGTCTTAAGAGTTAAATCAACCGATGCAGTGAAACAAAAAGATGTGGGGTTGGAGGAATACGGGGGCCTGACCGTAGAGCTGCATGGCAGCTGACAGCCATATATTTCAGTGTTTTTCTCTGCATACTTGAACACCACAGGAGGAAAGAAATAGCAAGGAGAAAAGCAAAACTAAAATCAGGTCAAAGGGAGAACAGCAGGCACACATCCGAAGACCTGAGCTGTTCTCTTAAGATGGGCTCTTCCACAATGCTCTCTACATCATGTAACCCCCCCTATGCTCATAAATTATAAGTAACATATGAATTTCAGATGTAGGACAAGAAAAAAGACAACATGTAAGCCTGGAAAAGGAATGTTCAAACTGAATGTCTTATTTTATTTGCTGAGCATAATCAGTTTAAAGTTTTTTTTTTTTTATGACTGAGGAGCAGTGAGGGGAATCTGCTACTATCGGAGACTTTGGAGAACCTCCTTTCACTTCAGTCAAACCATGTCTTTAGAAGTGTGTTTCTATTAGCTTTGAATATCGAGAGACTGACATCTCCGTCTGTTTTCTTAAATAAAATAACCAAATATCGGCATCTATCAGGCTGGATAGATGCTGTTTGTGTAGATACATCCTTAAATAATGTTGCAGACTCTATCAGTTTTAGGGCTGGACTTTGACTAGGCCGCTCTGAGTAATGGGTGTTCTTTGTTCAGGAGTCAGTTTTAGATGGTTTGGTCCCTTGTCCAATCCGGATGAAGTACTGACTGATTGTCCTAAAAGTCTGCTCTGACTTGGCAATTAATTAACCCTTGAGTTCATAATATATATATATATTTTTTTCCAGTGTTACTTTACATTTGGCTTCATACATCTTCCCATCATTTTTATCGGCAACCTTGTCCCCAATGAAGTATGTGTCCCCACAGCATGATGCTGCCAATGTCATGTGTAACAGTGGGGATGATGTACTTGGTTTGCCTAAACACATGTGATGAACTTTGCAACCTTCCACCTGTTACAGCATTAGCACGAAACAACCAGAATGTTTCACTCGTCCTCATCTGGTGTTGATTGCCTGTGTAAATTCTCAGTCCCTCAGGTCATTGCAACCACAAAACAAATTAGAAGGTAACCAGACTTTGGCTTAGTTTTTTTTGAAGAAGTTTTGACACCTACCCAGATGTCTTTGTCAACTCTGTTGGCTCGCACCACAGCAAACTGTGGTTGGAGCACTGATGTATTTACGCAGCACGGATGTCGGTCCTGTTAAACACATTCCAAGTCAGATGCCAATCAAATAGCCGCTCCTTGTTTTTCTGGATTGTTTGAGTCTTTTGTTGTGCGTGGCCTATGTGATTGGCCTTTGGAATCATAATGGGAGTTGTTATGTAACTTCTTAGAAATGAGCACCATGACTAAATTAGAAATGCTTGAAAGCTGAATGATTCTCCCCCTGTGTTCATAGAGGGCTTCTCTAGTTTCATAAAGATAGCATCCTTTACTCCTCTTTCAAACCATCTGTCCTCTCTGCCCAAAATCAGGACACCCTGGTCTTAAAAGGTGTGTCCTTTGTTTTTTGTCTTTGGTATGAACTATTTTGTGATGTTGGGTTTAAAATTCACCATGTTGTGTTTGGAGAAAATTGTTCACAGCTTCTCAGAAATTCCTGGCACATATGGAACTGAAATGTTTTTGTCTCTCTGTTATCTCCTCTGTGTTGTATGCAGTGTTTGTTCTTCCTGCTAGTTGTTTTTGGCCAACTTCAATGCCTAACTTCAAGTGATGTTTGTGTTCCTTTCCTTTCTCCTCTGTAAGTGAGGGAATTTATCAGCCTGGTAAATAAGAGTTCTGATCAACGAAAGGTTATGTTCTAGTGAGTTTTGTGAGTCTAAATGAAGGTGTTGGTCTGTATGTGTAGGTTTCTGGTAAGCTTCAGTATTAGGGACTTCTATTCTGTTCAATGTGCACAGCACAGTCCAGAAAGGGCAATATGTTGTTCTTGGCATCATCTCTAGTGAACTTGATATTTTTGTCCACTGAGTTGATATGATTGGTGAGAGCCTCAACTTACAGGGTTTAGATTTTGACCCTGGTGTCATCCACATATCCGAACCAGTGAGTTGGTTGTGTTCCCTTGTATGTGCTGAGTGCTATGCTCTCCATCTCCTCCATATAGATATTGGTGGCAATGGAGGAAACGGGAGCCAATGGCTCATCCATATGTTTGTCGCTAAAAACATTCAGTGTCTTTGAAGTATGTGATAGATACGCAGAGGTTCAACCTCATAAATCTGGTTTCGTCATGTTCCAGTTGTGTCCCGACTGTGTTTACTGACTCTGATGTGGGAATGCAGGTGAATAGAGAGTTTATATTAAAAAGACAATGGTTTCATATGGAGCCGGGACTCCACAGACTTTGGAAATAAAGTCTGTGGAGTTTTCATTGTGGTGTGAAGTGTTTCCAACTAAACAGAATTGACAAAGACTCTTAGATAAGTGTCAAAACTTCTAAAAACCTGAGCAAAAGTCCAGTTGCCTTCCAAAAGTTTTTTTGGTTCTTTTATGTATTGACTTTAACCTCTACATGGGACTTCATATAGTCTTCTTTCAACAATAGCTTCCTTCAGTGCTACACCTTTATAAAATGCCAGATTTGACACGGACCCCATAGCATCACAGTGCCACCACTGTGTTTCACTGCAGGGGTGATGGTTTAGAGATGTTTTTTTGGACTTCAATGACTATTGAGATCCTAAAAGTCAAACTGGACTTTTTTTTTTAATCCACCTGCTCTCATAAATGAAAATAAATGGGATAAATATATATTTGATAAGAACAATGCAAACATGTTAGGCTGAAGAACAATATCATCTCTGGGTTTTCAGGACGGTTGATTCATTAGAGCAGATGTCTCTCTCGGTGTGACTAACATGACTTTTTAGCCCACTTTCTGGCTGCATTTTTCAGCAGCTTCGGCCGGACAGGATAGGAGGAGTGAGTGTTTATCTACAGCAACAAAGGCTCAGCAGCTGGAAGAAAGACGGACCTGATTACACTTTTAGAGTCAAACATAAAGAGCTTGTTTTCCTGCTCCTGTGTTTTCTTTAGTGAGGGTAATTACTGTTTAAGGTATTGTTGATATAAACCAGATGTGTGGGGGAAAAAAAGAATTAGATTCTAATTTTGCCTTATTCCCATTAGCTAATAGAACGGAACTGCACTGCTGGATGATAAGAATCTATGTGTAAACAGATTTTAACTTTCTCCCGCAGCAGAGGCTATTTCCTCTTCTTTTCCCGGGCTAATGTGGGCTGGGCTTGAAGGGATTTTTACACACGATGCAGTCAAACAGGAATAATGACCGGAGAAGCCGTGGTGCCAAAGCATATGGCTGTTATAAAAAATAAATGGCTTTCTTGCAAAGAAAGGAGAAGAAACTTTAAAAGACAAAAGAGGAAAACGTCAGTGAACCTACCGTGTTGATGGAGTGTTCGTTAATGTGATTCAGGACTGTGGAGGAGACTAATGAGACGCTCCATTCTGCTTTGGGATCATCTGGAAGTTTCCTAATGCAAGCAGATAAACAAATGAGACGCTGATTATCAACCCAGTTAAAAAGATGTCGAAGCCTTCCTGCTTTTTCAAAAAGTATTCACACCTTATCGCATCATTCCATGTTACAACCCCAAACCATTGCGTATTATTAAAATGTCATCTGATAGAACAAAACGTAGGAGTGTATTAGAAAATATTTAGAAGGACAACATTTAGAGACTGTATAGGCGTTGGTCCTGCAGTCCATATTTTTGGCTTTTTAGAACAGAATAAAGAAGAGAGAAATGAATGAAAGAAGTAGCATTAAATTTAATTCAATTCATATTTTAATATAACTTCAATTCAAAATCCATGCGATATCAAGGCACTCTAGAGAGATAATACAATCAGATCATGCAGGGACAGGTTGGCTGCTCAACATTGACAAAAAAAACGGTTGGATCTAAATGCAAGATAACTCTAGAAAAAAAAAAAAATTAATTATTCACTTATTAGCATGAAAATGACACTCAACAGTTAGACCAACAGTGAAATGCTTTAAATGCACATGTAAGAATGGCCCAGTCAAAGTGTAGACCTAGATTTTAGGACCTATTCTTAACCTAAAAATTAAGAATTTATGTTTACAAGTATAGCATTTATTAACTTCAATTCAATTTATTTCTATAGCGCCAAATTCACAACACAAGTCATCCCAAGGCACTTTACAGTTCAACCAGATCATACAGTTAAATTAATTCAAAGTTTTCTATCTAAGGAAAACCAGTTGATTGCATCGACTCATTGACTCAAATACAATCCCTCACACTAAGCATGCTTGTAGCGATAGTGGAGAGGAAAAACTCCCTTTTAACAGGAAGAAACCTCCAGCAGAACCAGGCAATTCTATTCATGAAATT